GTGTGTGTGTGTGTGTGTGTGTGTGTGTGTGGTGTGTGTGTGTGTGTTTACCGAGCGACATGAGCTCGTCGTCCAGCAGACTGATCCCCGTCTCGTGCGAGGCAGCGTTCAGGCTGTCGGTTGGCGTGGGAAACTCAGGGAAAGAGGGCGGAGTCTGCGGTGACGTGTCCAGGCCCGTGAGGTCGAGCAGCGCCGTCCCTCCTGAGAGACACCAACCACAGGTTGACAACCAGCCGGGCGCCACTTCTCTAATCTATGTGTTTACGTGCTCGTGTCTCACCGCTTTGTTTGTGTGTGTTGTTGCCGTTGACGACCTCGCCCGTCACCTGCTGCTTGTACAGGTTGATGACGTGTGTCAGGCTGTCGTTGGCCTGCAGGATCTCCGCTGCAGAGAAACAGGAAGTATGACTGACTGAAGCTCCGCCTCTAAACCTACTGATAAGAAAACGCTGACTCACCGAGCGCCTCGTCGTTGTCCTCCGTGTCGCTCGCCAGTCTGAACAGCGTGGGCCTCATCTTCTCACAGCGCTGGTAAACGTCCTGAAACGAGCCGTGGTTAGTCCCGGCGGCGGCGAGCTCTGCACTGACATCTGATTGAAGAATGTTGTTTCTCACCTGGACGAGCTCGCCGTTGCTCTGATTGGTCGCTTTGCTGTCGTAGTCGTGCAGGAGCTGAGTCAATAGAGCGACGCTCTCGTTCACCTCCTGGATGGCGTTCACCCGCTTCGACAACTTCTCTGCTCGCCGCTGATCCTGAAACACGAAAACACACGTGATCATACCTGATGCAGAAACCAGCCAGAGGTCACAGAGAGGTCAGAGGTCACAGAGAGGTCACAGAGTCCCTCTGAATCCTGCAGAGTCCCTCTGAATCCTGCAGAGTCCCTCTGAATCCTGCAGAGTCCCTCTGAATCCTGCAGAGTCCCTCTCAATCCTGCAGAGTCCCTCTGAATCCTGCAGAGTCCCTCTGAATCCTGCAGAGTCCCTCTGAATCCTGCAGAGTCCCTCTGAATCCTGCAGAGTCCCTCTCAATCCTGCAGAGTCCCTCTGAATCCTGCAGAGTCCCTCTGAATCCTGCAGAGTCCCTCTCAATCCTGCAGAGTCCCTCTGAATCCTGCAGAGTCCCTCTGAATCCTGCAGAGTCCCTCTGAATCCTGCAGAGTCCCTCTCAATCCTGCAGAGTCCCTCTCAATCCTGCAGAGTCCCTCTGAATCCTGCAGAGTCCCTCTGAATCCTGCAGAGTCCCTCTCAATCCTGCAGAGTCCCTCTGCCCGTCACACAAACCTCCTCAGGGCAAACCAACGATTTTCTCGTTCATCATGTTTCCGCTCGGCGTGCAGGACTTTTGTCTCTCGTCTTCTTGAAGGTCACTCACAAGACTTCCATCAGGTGGTGCGTTCAGGTGCAACAGAAAAGCAGAACTGATAAACACAGTAGAAAGAACAGATGTTTACCTCTTGAACCATTTCTTTGATGAGTTTGTTTGCAGCTTTGAGGTCGTCGGGTTGCGAGCTGTTCAGCAGCCGGGACAGCGTCTGAAGGATCAGGGGGGGGGGGGGGGGGGGTCACTATCACTCACTGACTTGTGTTAAACTGATTTTAGATTTCATCACCACAGCGCTCCTGATGAGGTTTTGGGGTGGATGAGTAAAGTTAACTCCGCCCCCTCTTACCACACCGGAGGTTACGGCTCGTTTGGGATCTTCTGTTACTTACTTTTGACTTCTCCTCGTCCTCGAAGATGGCGTTCTTGGGTCTGGGTGGAGGGAGAGTCAGGAGTTTGTCAGGCGGGAGCTCCGGGTCGTGTTTAATAATTCCTGTTTGAAGAATCAGAGTTTGAAGTTTTCAGACGCCGTAAAGAAAGCGTTTTAAACAAACAGGAAGTCTCACCTTGTTTCTTTAACATGTGATACGCGTCACAGATCTTGGCCTCTTCAGGTAACCCCAGAGTCCAGCTGTAGATCAGCTCCAGGACCTTGGTCTTTACGGGCTCAGGTGAGCGTGAGCCCAGGTACTGAGCGAGTGAGAGGAGCACAGTGATCAGTAACAGACAGAAACCCGTGACGGCTGCACGCAGAGCGCAGCGCTTACCTTCGGAGAAACCACTTTGATGAGTTCATTGAGAAAACGGAATTTGCCCACTTCGCTGTGAAACCGTTTCCCGCAGTTTTTCATGCACGTCTCCAGAACCTGCAAAACAAAACAAAAATAAAAATAAATAAATAAATAAAGCTGCCAAAACTTTTAAATCAAACCGCCACTTTCCACAGAGTCCATACACGCCACCGTCCGTCACTACGGCGCCGTTTCCTGCTTCTCTCGTCAACGCTCCTGTTCCCTCATCACGCCCTGCCGTCCGTCTCCGGAGCGCCCCAGCAGCGCCGCTATGCTCTGTTTCAAACACGCCGAGTCTGTTATTGACGGAGCTCACTGATAGCACGCAGCAAACTGGACAGAATAGATCGACCCGGACAGGAAACGCACACGGTGACCGTTGAATTTCAAAATAAAACCCAACAAACAGGCTCACATTCGTTTATTCATCACTTTATCCTTGACCAGCAGGTGGCGCCAGGAACGGAGCGAGCACAGACTTTGTGGAGGTTGGTTAAAATCTGAATTGTTATTCTCAGAGCTCTAAAGGGTGCGGGGGGTCTGGACTCTCTGTGCTGGTTTAGGTTCTTCAGGGTCAGGGCTAGGGGGGTCTGAACTCACCAGCAGGGCCTGCATGGCCTCCCACTCCTGTGGAGACTGGATCTTGTGGGCGAGGAGCCTGGTGGCCAGCTGAGGTCTGAAACAGAGGAAAATGTTTCTTAGTGAAATCAGTCAGGGGGGTCAGTTCAGTCCTCCATCCGAGTTCTCAGACTGGACCGGGCACCGTGGCGTTCTTACCCCTCCAGGTCTTTGTTGAGCTGCTCACAGAAGGCGTGGATGCTGCTCCAGTCCGCGTCTCTGTTCAGAGGGTTTGTGGCTCGGTCTGAAACGACAAAGAGATGTGACCTCGTCTAGACCCAAGACTCAATTAGAGAGACTCAAGTCCAGCATGGAGTCCAGCATGGAGTCCAGCATGGGGTCCAGCATGGAGTCCAGCATGGGGTCCAGCATGGAGTCCAGCATGGAGTCCAGCATGGAGTCCAGCATGGGGTCCAGCATGGAGTCCAGCATGGGGTCCAGCATGGAGTCCAGCATGGAGTCCAGCATGGGGTCCAGCATGGAGTCCAGCATGGAGTCCAGCATGGAGTCCAGCATGGAGTCCAGCATGGAGTCCAGCATGGAGTCCAGCATGGGGTCCAGCATGGAGTCCAGCATGGGGTCCAGCATGGAGTCCAGCATGGAGTCCAGCATGGGGTCCAGCATGGAGTCCAGCATGGGGTCCAGCATGGGGTCCAGCATGGAGTCCAGCATGGGGTCCAGCATGGAGTCCAGCATGGAGTCCAGCATGGAGTCCAGCATGGGGTCCAGCATGGAGTCCAGCATGGAGTCCAGCATGGAGTCCAGCATGGAGTCCAGCATGGAGTCCAGCATGGAGTCCAGTCCCCCCCCCATCAGATAGATAAACTGTAATAACACGCACGCGCGCGCGCACCACACACACACACACACACACACACACACACACACACACACACACACACACACACACACACACACACACACACACACACACACACACACACACACACACACACACACACACACACACACACTGTTAGCATGCTATGTAGCCGTGAAGCTAACGCTAGCCTGTGTTGACAGCTAGCAGGAGCTAGCTAACATCCCGGATGTGACGGCGGGCTCGGAGTGCTCTCTGCCGGGCCTCCCGCCGCTGAGTGCCGCTGTCATCTCTTCCACAACAACTCAAAGATCATAATCTGTTATTGTCCGGGACTCCGGGCCCCGCTGTACCGGGACATTAAGTTTAAAATACTCACTGATACGAGACTCCAAACTCTCCGCATCGGGGGGCGCCGCCATCACTGCGAGATTTATGTGACGCGTTAGTCTCGCGAGGTTTACTACGTCAGCACGTAGCGTGAGTCAGAGGACACGCAGAAGATAGAAATAATAATGATAAAAATTAAGGAATAATAATATGTATGTTATTATTGTTATTCAAAATAATAATAATCTTGATAAAAACGCAGGTTTACAAAGTAACTGTGAGTGTTAAGAGGACCAGCTGACAGACCAGCTGACAGACCAGCTGACAGACCAGCTGATTAGTTAGAGCCTTCAGATTAGTGATGAACTTCAGAGATCCATGGTAAACATGTCAGAAGATTCATGCAAATATAAAACGTCACCGTAATCCATCTTCTGCATGAGCAGCAAAAATAAAACAAGGATTTATTCCTGAAATAAAAACTGCTTTAACTTCTTTACGAGCTGCTGCACGTGAAGCTTCAGAGAATCATGGATTCATAATCAGAG